TTGCAATTGCCTGGTGCATTGCAGTTTATGCTGCATAGACATGATCTCATTTAATCTTCGCAACGTGGAGGCACAGAGAACTTAAACAGTTTGCATAGAGTCACACAGAAAGTGGTAGATCCAGAACACACATTCCTCAACTCAGGTTTTCTAACTTCAGATCAGCTGTATTTTCCGTTATATTCTGTTGCTTCCTTCAGCCGTAATGATAATAGCTACTATTTATGGATTGCTTATAATGTAGCTGTGCGTTAGTTAAGTTGTATCATTTAATGCTCACAGTGGAAGGATTATCTCCATTTGCCAACCAGGAAACTAAGATTTAGACAAATTAAATAACTTTCCTAAAATCACTCAGGTTGTAAATAGCAAAGCTGAAATTCGAACCCAGGTTTGGCTGTGTCTAAAGTTGCTTAACCAGTAAGCTCTTAATTGCTAAGCTCTTAACTACCATGCCAATGGTTCTCAGAATTTAGGGTGCATCATAATTACCTGGAGGGCTTGTTAAAACACAGGATTCTGGGCCCTTTCCCAAGAGTTCTGATTCAGCAGGTCTAGTTGAGGCTGAGAATTCCCATTTCCACCAAGCTCCCAGATGATGCTGATGATGCTTCTGGCTGAGAGCATCCACTTTGAGGACCACTGCACTATGCCACACTGCCTGCCTCTTCCCGGGTTGCACTGAATCGCAGCCAGCAGAAATGTGTTTCATATGGAGAGGAAGGACTTCAATTATGCATTATTACATGGCTCATTTTAAATGGGGTGTATTCCATACATTATGCAGTACAACTTTAAGGAGAAAATTATTATGCCCATAGAGTGGTACTGATTTCTAGGTTAAATTCAGGGTCGGGTCATTTTTATTGCATTTCTCTTTGTAGTCGTTTATGAAAACTGTTCTACCTTCTGGGTCATCACCTATGCAATAGGGACCTTAATGCCCATCTGAAAAAGGTAACACAACCACTTATTAATTAAGGTCTAAGTATCTGAGATTGGTTGCCTCCCTGATCTACTTATTTTCTTGCTTAAGATGTCATGTGTTAGTTATCTCTTATTTTTAAGAAGTTTATGATTTTGACGTAATTTACATTTCTAAACTTAGGTAATGTAAGTTACTATAAAGGGACTAAGATAAGAATTAGTCCCTTTAAAAAGATTATCCCCCTTACTTGACCTGTCATCTCCCTATCTTTCTCCCCCATCCCTAACCACTAATCTATTGTCCATCCCAATAGTTATGTTGTTTCATGAATGCTACATAAATGGAATAATGCGGTATATAGTCTTTTGAGATTGGCTTTTTCACTTAGCATACTTTCCTTAAACATGTTGTATGTGTCAATAGTTCATTTTATTGCTGAGAAGTATTCTAGGCTATAGATGTACCACCGTTTGTTGACTCATTCACCCACTGAAGAACATTTGGATAGTTTCCAGTTTGGAGCTATTAAGAATAACACTGCTATGAACATTCATGGACAAGTTTCTGCGTGAAAATAAGTTTTCATTTCTCTGGGATAAATGCCCAAGAGTACAATTGCTGGGTCACATGCGAAGCCCATTTTTAGTTTTAGAAGAAACTGCTAAACTGTTTTCCGATGTGGCCGCACCATTTTACCTTCCCACCAGCAATATATTTTACCTTCCCACCAGCAATCTCTGCAGCCTCATCAGCACCTGTTATCATCTGTCCTTTTAATTATAGCCATGCTAGTAGGTGTAAAGTGTTATCTCATAGTTTTGATATGCATTTCCCTAATGACTAATGATGTTGAGTATCCTTTCATGTGCTTACTGGTATTTTACGTATTTTCTGTGGAACAATATCTATTCAAATCCTTTGCCTGTTTTAAAATTGGATTATTTGTCTTTTGATTCTTGAGTCATAAGAGTTCTTTATATATTCTGGATAAAAGTCCTTTATCAGATTTATGATTTGAAAATATTTTCTCCTTTCTGTGGGTTGTCTTTTCACTTTCTTGGTGGGAGCTGGTGGGAGAGGGGCACAGCCTTCTTGACTGTACTCACTGGGGGTCGAGCTTCCATAAGGCAGAGCTGGTAGGGGTCATGGCTCAAATGCCACAGACGCTCACTGTTCTTGCTGAGATTTGGTAGATTTTCTTGAACAAATGTTTTCCCATTTGTCATTATGCCCTTAGGACAATTTCCAGAAACTTTAAATGAATGTTTTTTTTATCATTTTTACCAGTTAAATTGTTGATTTGCTGTAGAGAGTGTCCACAGAGTTCCCTACTGGGTCGTTCTGGAGAGTCAGCCTTCCATAGTGTACTTTGTGATGCAGATACCCCCAGGAGATTTTACACCTTAAGTTCTCATCAGCCTTTTCTAGTTATCAGATGATTCTTTGGTAGGTCCAGCAACTAGGGGAAGATCTTCCCTGTACTACATCTGCAGGACTAGAACAGTGCCCGGAACATAGAATTTCTTGAAAGAATGACTGAATAAATGAGCTTAAGCATCCGGAAGGAGGTAGATGTGGGAGGTGTGAGATCATTGAAATGGAGAGGTGGGTCCACAGAAGAGCTCATTGGGAGGGTACCCAACACCTATGAGGCCCAAATAGAAAGATTGTCCCCTTCGCGGGGCATCATTACTTCTTCAGTTATAACACACTAGTGATTCCTAGGCTCACTGTCACTAGAGCCCAAAAGAGAGGCTGGTTCATGAGCTAAGCATGGTTAGAAATCTGAAAATCATTGTTTTAAGTTACATGTCTATGTGTTCTGTAGGTGTCTTTGTGTCTATATGAATACACATTAAACATACATTGTGTACATATGAGCAGATAGCCAAATACCAAATATATATACACACAATGGTTATGGAAACCTTTGGAGCAGTGGGATATTCTCAAAGGACATTCTTCTTTCTTACCTAAAAAATAACAAAGAATAATGGAATGTTCTAACGGTTGTTACTCATCTAGCCCAACTGGCTCGTTTTGCAGATGAGGAAACTGAGGCCCAGAAAGCTCATGAGTTTTGTTCCTAATCTCACAGCTAGCTAGTGGGCTGCTGATTCCTGTGACAATGCTTGTCCCTCATGTCCTGTTACCTGTCTGTGAATGAACGCAAGCTTCAATCGTGTAAGCTTTATTCGCTGCCTCAGCAAATACTCCTTCTGTACAAACACTTAGAAATCAACACCCTAGAATAACTGTCATTTGAATTTTTCAGTTTTCTGCCTTTCCTCTCCTTCTACTCCTTCCCTAAAGTAAATTCTGCAACTGGCAACTTTGAAACTTGTTACAAGCCAGAACCTTAATAGGGTTTTACATTTTTAGCAGCCTAATGATGAGGATGTTGGACCTTCTGTGCTAGTCCCTCAGGGGTTTCTATTCTGGGCACTTATTAAACTTTGCTGTAGTCTGAAGTATATTTGACCTTTTTATATTTAAAAAATTTCAGTTTAAACTTTATACGTATATTTGCGTGTGTGTACACATTCCCCTCTTCTCCATCAATTAGGTAGAGATTCAGACATTATCAACAGTTGAACTTGAAGACACTTGTCGATTATTTCCCTGTGTTTGGTGAGGAAAAGAGAAGCCAATACCATCATAATTTAATATTTTTTTATTTAGCTAAATTTGAGACCTCTGAAAAATCCTTTCTACTTTGAAGTCTCTTTTGCGGTTTAATTAATGCAGCAAGGGTTTTTATTTTACTCTCAATGGAGATAATCTTAATCCATTCACGGTGACCTTTTCTTGTGCAAATTAGTTGTACACGCTTGTTTAAGCAAATGGTCCTTTGCATGATGTCTCTTCTTAATGACAGGTTTATAATTGAAAATTGGCTTACTCCCATATGCCTAGTTTGTATGAGAATATAAAAATAGATGTGGACTTTAAAAATATAAATGTATATATCAGTATCCCAAAAGAGGAGGGAAGATTCCAGTGCCTTCAGGCTATGATTAAATTAGACTATTAGAGTCAGAAAATGCTGGTGACATATGCTACTGTCAAAGTCACACCTGTCTGCTGAGCATCGGAAACTCTTGAAAAATGAGAGTGATTTCATCTTAGCTCTGAGAATCTGGGCCCTCACAGGACACGAGCCATCTCTAGTTTCCCAAGTTTTCTTAAACTCGTAATGAACTTGAAACTGCGCGTTTAGGAATGTGTTTGTGGAAACACTTTTAAAGCGATAGCCTAAACAAAACGGAATGCTTGTCATCTTTCCTGCCCTTCACCAGCATAAAAAGACAGGTGACACTCACGTTCTGTTTTGCATTTTTTCAAGTGCAAAAGCAATGGAAGACCATTAAGTGGTATTTGAGTAAGAGAAACAATCATCTCTTCGCAGCCCAGTTTTCCACACCCCCTACTATTATTTTTTCTTTTGTTAGTCCTCTTTCCCCATTTCTTACGCTAGCTCCTTCTGTCTCAGCTCCTTTTTCCCCTGTTAAGTCACGTCAACCATTTTTATACAGGAGTATTTGTCTGGGGTAACTGAATGTTCTTGGTTAAATGTAGAAACTCCAGCTTGAAGGAGAAAATAAATGTTGTTTTTTGCTTGTAATGGAGGTTTCTTGAGTAGATTTTAATAGCATGGCTTTGTGGGGTGGGAAACAACAGTCTTAGTTTTGCTGAATGACATGACATTTAAAAAGAATAACTAGCAGTGATTTGTTTTTTAAACTTCTGGAGACAACACATTTCATCAAGACATAAAAATCTGATTTTGGAAGGAAAGGCTTGGCAAACCAAATTGTTACTGGGACCATCAGACTTGTCTTTTAGGTACAGTTTGCAAAGGACCCCAATTGCTTTGTCCAACCTGAAGGTTCACACTTCTTCTTCACGCAACAACCTCCCACCCCAAATTGGAAAAGTGAAAACTGCACGCCTGGTGTATTTCCTGAATTGCTCTGGGTAATTTCAGGCAGCTGTGCACCCCCAGCTGTTCATTCACCCCCCGAGTTCCTAATGGGTCTTCAATTGCTGATGGCTCCTCCTCTCCTTCTAGGTATGATTATCGGGAAATGCTGCACAATGCCACTTTCTGTCTGGTTCCTCGTGGTCGCAGGCTTGGGTCCTTCAGGTTCCTGGAGGCTCTGCAGGTAAGAGACCCTGAAACCCCTCCCAGAATAGGGCTGAGGACTGAAGTCAGACTGGGTGGGTTGAACCTTTCCTCTTCGCCTGGGATCTAAAGAGAATGTGTGGTTTGCCTTGAACAACTGAAATATGTTTTTGCAAGAAGATCTGCAACATTATTTTTTTGGCAGCATTTTTTATAAGTGGGGGATTGGGATTCCCTCCCTGCCTTCTGACATGAGAAAGGGACGATGGGTTCTTTAGGGACATGTTTGCAAACACAGGTCAGAGCTGAGTGCCAGCCAGGCAGCCTAGCGGGGCTTCTCCCAGAGATTCTGCCCTTCTTCTGGAAGCCAGTCTCAAGAGCAATGAAAATGGCTTATTGGTGGGACTTACCAAAAGCAAAATTGTCTGTCCTGTCCTCCCTCTCAGTCTTCACTCAGTTCCTCTAAATACTGAGAGTGATGCCCAACAGGGTGGTGCTACTCATTTGGCCCAGCTATTCGGAGGCTCTGTAGTTAGGGGACCGGCTGCAGCTCCAGGGCCTGCGCGGGAGTCTCTCCGCTCATTAACCTCACTCTGCAGAAATGCCTCCACCTGTTGAGACAGATGTCCACGTTTCCACCTGGAAGTTGCAACCGGCCTCCCTTGATTGTGAGAAAGCATGCTCTCAACCTCTCTCTTCCTCCACTTCTTGTCCCATGGCTGCTCTGTTCTTTCCTCCTCTGTTCTCTGCACCTTGCCTGAATCTGTGCTTTTGACATGGTGCTTCCTAACTTCCATCCTTCTGTCATGTCCTCCAGCGGAAGCGCTTCCTTCTCTTGAAAGTCTTTTCCAGTCTGTTCTGTGTGTTCTGTGAAGTGTACCTTCACTAATGTTCTTGTAGCCTCTTGGGATGTTGCGTGGAGCAAATTATCCTCTGGTTTGGATTATGAGTTATTTGGAACCAGAATTTTGTCATTAGCCTGGTGTTTATTGGCTGGTAGATCACCGTGCAGGTAGTAAATTGGTACAACAGTGGTTGGGATCCTTCCACACTGAAGGGAACACACTTCTGGTTCAGATGTTTGCACAGCAAGAGAAAGGTGAGCAGCCCTAATAGTGAAGTCCACAAAATGCTTTCTCAGGAATGCCAAGCCACATTCTGCTCTTTGTGGCTCATGACATCGGGGGAAACCACTTGCAAGGGGGCTTGAAGCAGTTACGTTGACAAAACTGTTTATTTTCACGGTTGGTTTTATGCTAGGATTTTGTTGGTGAATGATTTTCTTACATCAATAAAACTTCTCCAGTGAGGCCAATCTTCTCCATGAAAGTAAGGGTCAGCCAAACCATGAACTAGAATAGAAATGGGGTTTTAGCATTCTAGGGCAAGACTTGCAAATATTAAAACCTTGGCTGGATACGTACAGTCTTCATGTGGACTTGATAACTCATAAAAGCTTACTTCCCTTCTGGCCTAAGCAGTCAGATCCATGCAACTTAAGAAATGCCAGAATTTGAATTTATACAGATATCACCCTGATTGGAACGGTTCCTGATGCCACTTTCCTCACACTCATGAAGTCCCCTTTCTTTGCACAGGCTGCCTGTGTCCCTGTGATGCTCAGCAATGGATGGGAGTTGCCATTCTCTGAAGTGATTAATTGGAACCAAGCTGCCGTCATAGGCGATGAGAGATTGTTATTACAGGTAAGGGAGGGGCTGTGGCCTTCAACACATCAGTGGATTATTGCTGCCCCCGTCCAAACTTTCAAAGAAGATGAATCCAAAAGGTCAGCTCTATAAAAGAAATTTTATCAGGAGAAAATTGCCTGTGTCATGGTGAATATGAAGTCATTTAATATGACATTGTTCACTTTCCAACACAAAATCTGCCCTGGTCCACGGAATATATTCGGAAAAGGAGAAGTTGCAGGTAAAGGACATGAACTTTGGTGGTGAGAAAGAGGTGTATATCCATCCCCTTCAATATCTAGAATTTTTAGGAATGATACCAGAGAATTTTTGTACCATCCTGCCACTTCATATTCCTTTCCCTGGTTTCTCTATTTGCCTTGAGATTAATTTTCTGAAAGAGAGAGGTCTCTAGGGTTGATTCTTTTTTTTTAGGGTTGATTCTTATAATTAGTGTTATCATGGCTCAAATGATCCAGTCTGGGTGTCTGAGCGAGTGTTATCTTTAAGATGTATATTTAAAAGAGCAGCCTCTAAGGAAAAATGTTTTTTTTAAATCTATTGTTGGCCACTTGGATTTCTTTTTTTTAATGGTTTATTTTATTGTGGTAAGAACACTTATGAGATCTACTCTCTTAAATTTTGAAGGGTACAATACGTTATTGTTGACTATCGGTACAATGCTGTACAGCAGCTCTCCAGAGCTTGTTCATCTTGCTTAACTCAAACTTTATGCCTGTTGAGTAAGTCCTCATTTTCCCATTCTCCCAGCCCCTGGCAACCACGATTCCACTCATGTACCTCATGTAAGTGGAATCATGCAGCATTTGTCTTTCTGTGACTCGTTATTTCACTTAGCATAATCTCCTCAAGGTTCATCCATGTTGTCCTGTGTTGCAGAATTAAGACTGGATATTGTTGAAATGTCCATATTACCCAAAGTTGTCTACAGATTCAATACAATCCCTAGCAAAATCCCACTGTCATTTTTTACAGAAATAGAAATTTTAAACAATCCTAAAATTTATATGGAGCCACAGAAGACCCTGAATAACCAAGTCAATCTTGAGAAAGAACAAAGCTAGAGGCATCATACTTCCTGATTTCAAAATGTATTACGAAGCTACAGTCAACAAAACAGTACAGTACTGGCAAAAAGACAGACACATAGACCAATGGAACAGAATGGAGAGCCCAGAAATAAATTCACACATACATAGTCAACCAGTCCTTGACAAGGGTGCCTAATAAAAGTTTGAACTTCTCCAGGCTGCCTGGGTAGGGGGATACTTACAGAGAAATCCAAGGACAGAAATGGTCAGTCACTAAGGATTTCTAAAGCCCCTTTGTGCAATAATGATTTAGGATCAACATAAATTGCAATGCTCCTTTTTCTAAAATTATAGAATATTTTAATATTTATTTTTTATTGAGGTAACATTGGTTTATAACATTATATACATCAGATGTGCATCATTATATTTTTATATCATTGTATTTGTGTATAATTATATTATTATATTTTGACTTCTGTATAGACTACATCATGTTCACCACCAAAGGTCTAGTTTCCAGCCGTCACTGTACACATCACATGTACCTCTTTACCCCTTTCGCCCTCTCCCTATTCCCCTTCCACTCTGGTAACCACCAATCTGTTCTCTGTATAAAATTATGGAATACTTTAACGTTTTTTCTTTCATGGCATTGTGTACTTTATCTTGAACTGCCACAGATATTTGTAGAATAATATTTTTAATGTCCTTGCTTTTTTTGATATCCAGAAAATCGAGTTTCTAACTCTTGTTGATTCTGCTTCTGCGCTGCTGGCCAGTGTGCTAGCTAACTGGGGAAGTAAGGCGGCAATCTGTAAAGTAACAGGTGAAATATGTATAACTGACAGCCCTGTGGATTAGGCAGGCCAAGCCAACGCAGCTCCCAAAACATTGCTTCTGTCTGCTACTCAGGTCTGTGATCTCTGTGGCCCCTGGCACCTCAGAAGCAAAAGAGGAATCCATGATCTAGCAGAGTCCTCCGCATGCAGAGATGGGGTGTTCCTAAAACATTTGCTCATGAAAGGCCACCCAAAAGTGATACATGTGGTTCTTTTCCATGTTGCCATTTCTCTTCCTTTTATGATTTTTTAAAAATAATGCATGTTCATTAAAGGAAATTTGGGAAATAAAGGGAATAAAAAACATGAGCCATAATTTCTCCATGTACATACCAACGTTCCTGGGAGTTTGATGTGCACAAGTTGAGTCTGTCTTGGAGATGGAGAGCATTCCAGGAGGCTTAATTGTGGTTGTCCACCTTTTACCCTTTCACCAAAGTTGATGGCATTTCACCTTCTGAAGCAACTTTTTGGCTTGACTCGAAAGATTTTGTTTTTCATTCCACACCCATGCAGACTTGCTGGGATTTTCCTCTCTCATCTGCTGTCTGTCTTTGCACAGCTGCCTCCATATTGAACAGCGACTGCACTGTCGTTGACAGTGGTTTTAAAAGAGCTGGCACTGAGCCCAAATGTCTGCTCTGGGAGATGTTTTTGTTATGTTACAGTTTTTCATTTCCTGTTTTAGAACAACTCGGATGTTTTTATTTGCATATATTCTTGTCATCGTGTCACTAAGAGAGCTTAATGTTGCTTTCCTACGTCTATTTTGGTAGATTCCATTAGTTTTGGTACCATACATGACCTTTTATTAAGACTTCATTGAGTTCTGCAATTTTGAACAATCCGGCCAAATTGGAATTAATTTATCACTTTCCCGTACCTGTCTCTCAGGACAAGCAGATTAATAACCAATAGCCAAATGCCATGAAAACTTGGAACTCTGTCTTTTCGGTCAATTGGAATTATCTTCCAGAGCACTTTGCAGAGTGCCGTCAGACACTTAACATCATACGCCCAAACAGGTAGAATATATTTTAGTTGATGTAGTAACATCAAGATGTGGCTTATATAAGAGAGGGGAACGTGTTGGTAGGTTAATCTATGATATTCCCTTTCTCCTTTCATAAGCATAGCCTATTCTTTTTTCTGGAGATGGCATGGTGATGATAGCTTTCAGCATTTTTCTAATGAATTGGTTTCTTGTGACCATGATAAAAACAGTGAAGTCAACCTATATGACTCTTAGAAAATACCATTGACATTTAGAAGAGGGCATGATTATGAAAATTGAACAGGATAATTTTTTTCTAGGCTTGCTTTGGCAATCTAGGTAATTTTCTCAGGGAGTAAATAAAAATAAATTTTCTTTTACTACTCAGGGATCCATGATATGAATGGTTTCTCTACCTTCTCCAGGGGTATTTTCCTCCTATTTGACCTCGAGCTCTGGTTTCAGGCTGTTTGCCTGCCAGTGTTTCTCCTTCACCTGTTGCCTCCATGTTTCTTCAGTGTTGGGCATCCAGATACACACTTTGGGGCACAGATTTAGTATCTGCTTTAGGACATTGCCAAAGCAAGTGAGCTTGTCCTTATGTTCTTACTGTGAAGCAGTTTCATTCCGCCTTCTAAGAGTCGTCTTGATTCAAAAAATGTGCTACCACCTTCTTACCCTGCAGTAGAAATTCAGATGTAGTCTTAGTCACAATGCCATGGGTAACTTGGTTATTAAAGCAGCTCGAAGAGCATTCCTGGTTCAGCCTGGGCCCCCATGTCTCTCTGATTAGTTACACATAGGGAGGCAAGCATGCAGAAAGAGGTGAACACAAAAGGGCACTTGCTAATCACAAAGAATTTCCCCTAAGAGTGTAGACTCCATAAATGAAATAGACCTTGAACTCCAGGTGAAGATAGGGAGCAAACCCAGGAAACTCACCAGAAACCAGGAAGCACATTTCAGAGCTCCAGACCCAAGCAGGTTCACACGTAGACGTTACACAATTGGTCCAACTTTGAATATCATCACCCTTATATCAATAATAATAGTAGTAGTAATAATAATTGCTATATTAATTAAGCATCCCATGTTCTAGGTGCTGCTAAGCACTTATATGATCTTCATTATGACCTTAAGATGTTAGTACTGTATCCCCACTTTGTAAATGAGGAAATGGAATCTTTGAGAGATCGAGTCACTTGTCCAAGGAAGCAGAACTAGTAAATGGTGGAGCCAAGAATCCCACCTTGGTCTAACACTTGTGTCTTTGTGCTTAACCGTTAAGATATATTACTAGTAAAGATAATGATATCCCTATGGTGGCTTCAGATGGCCATGTTGAATTCAGCTCTTATTTCTTGAATAACAACTATATAAAAGCTACTCCCCCAGCCTACACATTTTAGTGTAGCAGGATAAGACATAGATCCCTCCTTTAATATTGTATAGCCTGGTAGAGAGCAGTGATGGCTAAACGTGTGATGTTTGACAGATTGAGTTAGATTGGGGTAAGGGCTGGAGCCAGAGAGAGAGGTCTGGGGAGCAGGAAAACTCTCGGGGTGAGGCAGGAGGGATGTGCACATAGAAATGACTAACCCCAGCTTCAGATTTAAGGGAGAGGCTCAGAGACATTCCCTAAAAAGCCCTTTTGTAGATAATGTGTGGTCCCTGGCATGGCATATCTTACAAGTGCTTGGGGCATGATGTCTTTCAGCCTTTCCCCAAGGTCTGTAGCTCTTTCTCTGTGAAATTTGATTCTCCATATGCAGGATTGAGAATCTGTGGGACGCTAAGAGGGGAAAACAGCAATTGCTACTATAAGAATACCCCAGGCAACTGATGAGCTGCTACCACATCTTAGAGGTGAACTCTAACTTTCGTGCATTAAAAGTCATTAAAGCTGCTTCGCAGTAAGTGCTGTTTGTACCTGACACCTCTTACGGGCATTTCAACGTAGGGCTTGGTGGTTTTTAGTAGATCTGTGTGCTCCAAGCTGAATGCTACGAAGAATAAAAGCCTAACCCAAGTGAGTTATTTCTATCAAACGGCATCTCATTGTTTTCCAGTTACAGTTATGATGTGTTTCCCTTGTGTTACAGATTCCTTCTACAATCAGGTCTATTCATCAGGATAAAATCCTAGCACTTAGACAGCAGACACAATTCTTGTGGGAGGCTTATTTTTCTTCAGTTGAGAAGATTGTATTAACTACACTAGAGGTAAGTGAGACCACTTGGCTGTTGGTCTTGAACAATGGTCCTTTATGCACTTCTCTCAGCCTTTTGTTTTGCTGCTGGTGATGTATAATTGGTCTAATGGGGCAAAACTGAATTTTCAGTACTTGGATATGTCAGTTAAACCCCTTTTACCTGCTCTGCCATACCTAAGCAAATACTTCCATTCCTGACAAACTCCACAGAGGAAAATTGACGTGGAGAGAAATAATACTCCTTGACACAGAGATCGGCTCTGTCTTACATCATTTCAGGAACATGTGGCTAATGACAGCCCTCCTGTCATTCACACTCAGTGGCATCCTTTGAAGACATATTTCTAGAGCCCATTTAGAAAATAGATAGTGACCAAGTAGGGGAAAATCTTCTACCACTCTAAAAACATGACTAGTTTCCTGGACACCATAGTCCAATGGCATTGAGGGACAGCAAAATTAATTCTCAAGACATGTGCAACTCAACCAGCATTACTGTTGCAAGGATGAGTTAAGAAGGATATCCGGATTATACCTATCTGGTGCAGAAATTGTTAAAGTTTATGAAATCAGAAAATCTTCCAGGGAAAGAGGTGCCCATCTTCAAGTTGCTTTTTTAAGGCAAGAAGGAAAAAGGAAAGGGAGCATGGAGATCATTAAAACCTTTGGAAGTGGAGCAGATAGCAATGGCCTGAGGCTACAGCAAAGTAGCACAAAAAGCTAAGAAAAGATTTAGGAAACTGCACACTCATGAATTACAGGCTTGCAAGAAGGAGAGCAGAGGTGCTCTGGTGAAGCACAGCGTTGAGGTGATTCTGCATGTGCGCATGATGAGGTAGAGACATTTGTGGCCTCACTTCTGGAGTATTTGCTTTGGAAAAGTGATTACTGCTCCAAAAGCTAATCTAATTTGGAGCATACACTGAGAAGTCTGAGTAAAGCCAAGAAAACTGAAGTCACTGGGTTTTGTCCACATCGCAGTTTTCTTGACATCCTGGGTATCAGGGTCAATGCCGGCCATGCCCCAGGCCTACTGGGGCATTTACCTACCCCAAGCCTCACCTGGTCCTGCTCTCGCCTGGGGGCATGTTCTAGCTGGCCTGTCCTCTCATGAACAGTGCACATTGTTTTTATCCTGGAACTAAGTGAAAAGGGCTATTTAGGACCCAGACCCGCCAATGAAGGCAGCAGGATCTGAATGGCTTCCAAGGGCTTCCTTATTTCAAGCAAACTCCTCTTCCCCCTCCAAAAGCACTCTTCTCAATTAAAATTGATTGAGTTTTCACTTTTGTTCATAGCAGCAGATTTGAATGTGCAATAGAGTGAATATGTAACAGATTCTACACCTTTCTTTTCTTCCATCCTGTCCTCCCTCCAAGACCCTTCCTAGCTCTTCTTAAGGAAAGTTGAATGTCATTTTTTTTTTTTGCCTTTTGGAATGAGTGCTTTTTATCAGAGAAGTGTATATTCATTTTAGAAAATAATGGAAAATACTTAAAGCATAAAAATATAATATAATCTACCCATGCAAAATCGCTATTGATATATACACACACACACACACACACACACAACACATCTATATTAGTTTTTTTCTAGGCAAATTTATAAATATGTTGTTATTTCTAATTTAAAAAGGAGTCTTTCTATACTTAGTCTATAACCTGTTTTTTCTGCTTAATAATATATTGTCAATATTTTCTCATGTTATTAGATTTTTTCTACAATTATTTTAATGACTATATAATATTCCATTTATGATATCACTTAATTTTCTTAAAGTAATCTCCACTTTGGGGATATTACTGTTGTTTCTGGTTTTTCATTTTTATTCCCGTCATCAAAGCAAATAGCCTGAGAGCCAAATTGTTGTGAGGGTTCAAGATTACTTCCTTAGGATAAATTCCTTGAATTCGAAGTCCTACTTCAAAGAATATGCCAAATATGAAGATTTCTAATATAAATTGTCCATTTTCCTCCAATAGAATTGAACTAATTCATAATTCCTCCAACTTATATGACAGGACCTGTTAAGGTTTTTTTTTTCTCTTTCACCAGTATTGAGCATGATGTCTTTTAAATGATAAATCCTTATTTTCTTATTTTATATTGCTTAGGATATTAGTATGAATGAATATTTTTCATATATTTCTTGCTTCCGCAACTCACAAAGAAAGAAATAGAAATGGCCACAGTGTTGTCACGCTTTTTGTCATAAATTTTTAAGAGCTTATTATGTTAAAAATATTATCCCTTTGACTCACTTATTGCAAATATTTTCCCTCAATTTCTGGTATGCTTTTCAATTTTGTTTAGATTGTGCAATCTTTTCATCTGTGTAGAAACGACTTTTCGACCCATAATTTTATTCATACACACACATTTACTTAGATTTTTCTAGTACTTTCATGGTTAATTTTCTCATTTAGCTATTTAATCCAGTTTACTTTTATATATAATCTGTGTTGAAAAATCTAAACCTTTTTTTTTTGACAAATTGTTGTGTAGTTGTCCCAAAACATTTCATAGGTTTTTCTTTCCTGACTGTTTTCACATGCCACTTTTATGCATCTTAGGGTCTGTTTCTGATCTTTTAATCCTGCATTATTGGTTGTCTACTTTAATATACCCAGACCACATGTTTTCTTTTATTTTACCCTGTACACCAACCTTTCATGAACCTCTATCATTTAACCAATCTGCTATTGTTGACTATTACTGTTGTTTCTAATTATTTGTCATAGATATAGAAATAGAAGTCCTTATCTAAGTGATGATTTCCTACATGAAGCTTAGACAATGTTTCTATTTCTTTAGGATACAGTCTTTGAACTGGGATTACTCAGCCAAACGGTCTAGGCATTTCTAAGGCTCATGATATGTATCGCCAAATTACTCTTCAAAAGGGTGTATCAGTCTAGACTCGCACAAGCTGTCTGGGGGAGACCCTGTCTTGCTGCATTCTTGTCAGCCTTAAGGATCATAATTAAAACACACACATACACAACTTTACTAATTTGCCGGGTGAAAGATAGTATCTCATTAATTACATTTCTTTTGAGTGTGGTTTGTTGCACAGATCTGGTCTCTTGCTTGTTAAGTTAGCAGTGCTCAATTACCCTGTAATAACAGTTGGATGTGTTGTATTCATCAGAATAGGATCTTAAATCAAGCTGTTTTCATCGCTCTGCCTGGAAAGGCCTTCCTCCCCTCAGATTTAAGATATTCAATTCTTTAGTGACACAGTTGTTTGGAAAACACTACAAACCATATACTCCATTCAAATTTATAGCAACTGTCAAATCTCCTTTATATAGTTTCAAGATTGGATTGTACCAATTTGACCTCTCAACCCGATTGCATGAGAGATACCATCCAGTTTCCCTTTTTAATTCAGAACTCAGATTACCCCAGAATTCAACATAAATAAAAAAACAGAGAAAATGGCAGAAAATGCCATCAACATACACAAATAAACAAAGCCAATGTGTTTATAAGAACGATTTAAATATCACATCTCAAAAACACGCACTTAACGAGATGATATAGGTCATTCAGTCCCTGCTGGTGCTCCTAAGACATGAAGACAATTCAGAATTACCCTTCAACAACGTAAATTTGAGGATCCCTTGCTTTTGGGATGCTCTACACTCACACTCTTTCTTCCTTACTTGCCAGATTCTAGGCCATGGCAGGGGCTTACTTGGTCTTTGGAGATTATGAGCCTTAGAGTTGTAGGGCATGCTTAGACACAATTGAAAACAGGATGCCTCATCCTTCTCTCCAATGCCAGGGTCAGGTATTGGTACATTCCATTGTGGTACACTCTATCATATTTGGGATTCACCTAGTATTTCCAATCTGATTGAGATTTCCTAATTCTGCATCTTGAAGTTAAAGAACTATTTAATAAGAGCTACGCTCTTTGGAGCTTAGTTTTTTTGTGCAAATAGAGAAGTAATGATAGGACGGTGATAAAACACTGCAAAGACAGTGTTCCTTCATGGATTCCATTATTTGTCAGAATATTGCACGACAGTAACCTGGCACTGAGGATTGAACCATAGGAGCTCAGTCAGAATCAAGGTGAGCAAAAGAAAAGTGTGTGAGATTGTAATAATATATGAAAACAGCTAATGATAGCTTGGAAAGCACATTTTTCGTGGAGTTTTATGAAGTATTCATTCTCCATTTTTCTCTTCAGTTATTTAACCATGCACACTCAAACCATGATATTGCTGATGCTGTTGTACAATGAAATTTTAAAATCAATGAGATAATGGAAATAGAAAATTGCTTTTCCTTGAAACAAAGTGGCATATGGTGGCACTGCATGTATTAGGCAACATTGCATTGGTCTAAAGACCAAGTCAGGGCCACATACAATGACTATAACCAATAGTCCATTATTTAAAAAACGGATGGCACAGAAAAAAGAAAAATAAGGAGGGATTCTTCCCTTTGAATTTCACGTTAAGAAATATTATCCTTATTAAGGATTCTTTTTGGAGCAATAATGAAAAAAATCTTGTATTATGTGTGTGCATGTGTTTGTGTGTATGTATTGATTTTCTTTATAGCCAAAGAAGTGTCCAACCTCTAAATGTAATGTCTTGTTCTACAACAATAAAGAGTGAGCACTAAGTGCCCTGAAAGGATCATGGGAGCTGTTCAGGGTAGCAATAGGCAGAATTGGACGTTAGAAGAGGGACAAAATGACCTTTCTGTCTGGTGGAATGAGATCCATACTCTTTCAAACTTTTGAGAAGACAAGTTGTTATAAACCTTTTAAAAAGATATTTGGTGGGGGCCAGTCCCATGGCCGAGTGGTTAAAGTTCTGCACACTCTGCTTTGGTGGCCCAGGTTCACAGGTTTGGATCCTGGGCACAGACCTGCTCCACTCATCAGCCATGCTGTGGAGGCATCCCACATACAAAATAGAGGAGGATTGGCACAGATGTTAGCTCAGGGCTAATCTTCCTCAAGCAAAAAAAGAGAAAGATTGGCAATGGATGTTACCTCAGGGCAAATCTTTCTCACCAAAAAGAAAAAAAACAACACATTTGGCAATACATATGAACAGCCTTAAAAGTGTTCATACTCTTTGACAAAGTCCTAAAGAATCAATCCTAAATGTGGAAAAATTTTATTCATGAGTATGTTCATTGCTTTGCATGGAAAAAAATTGCACTATTGTTGCTCATTTAGGATAAGTAAACTCTGAATGCTATTAATAACATGGGAAGATATCTATAATATATATTATCTATGATATTATAGCAGTGAAAAAAGGGAAAAATATATGCCTAGAAAATGAATACAGAAACGAGATTTTTTTCACAGACAAGAAAATCAAGTCTTAAAAACTATGAAAACTTAGGCAGTTGTTCCTAACAAATTCTGAGAGGCTGTTATAATTAATGTGATATTTCATTGTTTCGTTACCAATGAGGAAAGGGAGACATAAAAGTGGCAAACTGCTTGACCCAGGTTAAAATCTACATTTGCAATTGCTCTTATACCTTTGCTGATATCTTCCTGTCAAGATCCGTTTGAAGAGAGTATAAAATGCTTATTGGTATTTCAGAGTACTGTAACTTACCATATCCTTGAATTCGAAAAGATAACAATGTTGTGATACTGAACCAGAAGGAGTCTATGACAATGAGAAGCATACCACCCAGAAACCCAAAGTGAACGGTGGCCCATTTTGTAACATTTCTGAGTTCCATGTCATTTGTATGTGGGTCGGATTTATGATGCTATCTATTGTCAATTTATTCTATGTCTTGATACCAAACTTATTTAAGTGACCACATACTGGAACCTACATAAATTTGGAAAGCAAAAAGAGAGAATCTAAGTGAAAAACTATCAAAGAAAATAAGTAGACAGTAGATTTGGAAGGTGCAAATAATAAAAGCTGGGATAAATGGTGTCTGAATTGAAATTCCTAGCCATGTAAAACCTTTTCACAACCATGACAATTTTCTCATAATTAATGCCTGGATAGCAGCATTTTAATACATCTCTGTTGTACCACAAGGAGTAAACATTAACATTTTAGCTAGATTCCTAAAATCTCTACCAAATTAGAAACCTCTGCCCAGCCATATAAAATTAGCAGTTTCGATCTGGGGGACAGATAAAATGCAGAGATCATTGAACTAAGATATTTGAGTTCTTCTGAATTTCCTCCTTGCCTCCTTTCTTCTCTCTCATTAAGAAATATAAACATGATAAGGTTTGCAAAGATAAATGTAGCTCACTTTATTACTCGTCTAGTCTCCATGTGGGATGAGATGAGAGTGTTAATAACCTTAGCAAATAATAAAACTCCATTTAAAATAGTCTGTACTTAAAATCACATTGCATTAAATGGGGACCTGGAAAATGATGATTTAGCTCTTTAATCTCTTTACGTATGCAGGCTTTTTCTTTTTTTTAGGTACAGGGAAAAAAACCATTGCTAAAAACATGAAATTCTGTATCAAGTTAATTATTTGCCAAATCATATCTTAATGAGTGGATGGTCTAATTACAGGAGTTTGAAAGTCACAGAGAGAAATCTGTACAGTGAACTAATCATATTCATCTGACAAATGATTCAGGATGGGAAAATGTTTGACTCTAAATGTAGAATTTAATGATCTGCAAGGTCCCAAAGTCCAAAGAAACTAATGAACTAGCCTGGTTATTAATAGTCTTCCTAAGCCATAGTTCTTGTCTTGTTATGTAGGATGTTTTGAACAATTGTTAACTCACTACTTTTTGAGATGAAATATAGAAAACTTTGGCTAACCAATCCCCAAAGTCCTACCACTGACTTTGAAAGGAACTATGACAAGCATATAAATCTGTCTCCCGAATTAGAGAAACAGATCAAAACCTCAACACCTTCTAGAATGTGTCATGCCTTCAATATGCTGCCAGCTCAGGGTCCACATGGACATCTCTGTACAATGAGAACAGATCTTCCCAATGTGGATCTAGAACCACTGCTAGATGCTCACCCGTCAAGGAAACTGGTCCACACACTCTACCGTGAAATCAACATGGACTTATTATTATGAAAAGATAAGATAGAATTTATGGTTAAACTGAAGTTTCGTTAGGAAATTTGATTAGCTCTAATTCGTCTCTTTCTCTGTCTCACGCTTTTCCATTGCTCTGTTACTCTCTTTGTGTCTCACACATTTTTATCAGTGAGGAATTGGGGGTAGAGTCACTACTTTGAGTGTCATTATCCCTCCAATTTGGACTGAGCATGATCCTTGTCAAATACCATCAGGGTCTCATCCTCACCATGTGTTACATTTTTGTTTTCCAGATTATTCAGGACAGAATATTCAAGCACATATCACGTAACAGTTTAATATGGAACAAACATCCTGGAGGATTGTTCGTACTACCACAGTATTCATCTTATCTGGGAGATTTTCCTTACTACTATGCTAATTTAGGTAAGTGAGCTCCTTCCGGGGAGCTACCCTTTTTTACTCTCCAGATCTTGTCCATAATTAAGGTCCCTTGATTTTTCTATTCTATAGCAGGGTGTTCCTAACAGCCTGCATTGGAGATTGCTTTCTAGAGCCCTGTCATAAACGGTGTATCAAGGTCAGGAATTATAAATCCAGCAGAGCATTGAAAACTGGAAAAACTTCCTTCTTATCTGAACAGCTACACTTTATATATAGTAGAGTTATTTCTTTTTGAGAAATAGGCTTCCCAAATTCTGGATCATTTTGAACATGAGAATGGGTTGGCTGTGGTTTTAAGTCACATCATAGATAAAATGGAGCTACAAGATCTCTAATTTTTTATATTTTTCCACAATCCCAACTTCTCTATCTTGTACCAAAGAAAAACTGAATTAATAAAGGGAAAGGTGAAAGATTTAAGAATATATGACAAGGGACAAATTTATCACTCGTTCAACATTTCTTGTGCTCCTCTTATGTGCTATGTTAGCACCATGCTAGGTGGTAGAAATAAAAAGTCACGTGAGATACGGTCTCCACTCTCAAGCAGAGATTCCAGTTGACATGGCAAGAAGACTCTAGACTTTCCACCCAATGCTGATAGTCTCCAATAACTTCTTCACCCTTTTTTGAGTTGTACATATTTAGCTGATAAGATGAAACTTAAAGAAATTCAGATTCATGGCCTGAAGTATCAACCACTGGTCAAGAACCCTTTAATCCAAACCAAACGTGTTATGAGGACCATATCAAAATCAGTGAACGGTCCGCACTGGGTTCACTAAATACATTTAGAATTTAGTAATTTTCAGAGTAAGGCAGTATTTGATACAATTTCTATGTATTTTTTAAAGAGTATTAAGATTTTTGGAGTTAGCACATTAGAAGTGTGTAAATGATGCTTCTTAAACTATTACAGGAAAATCTAACAGCAGTGACTTGTCTTCACTGTTAAAAAGGGAGCCCCACCATCGTACTTATTATTCTTACTTGACAAAATCTTGAATGTGTGTCTAGATAGCGGGAAAGTTAGCTTCTTTCTAACATGCAATTAAAGTACTAATTGGATGATATAATTTTCTCTGCAAAACATTTGTGTAATTCTTTAATGTATATTGTCTGATTCTTACCTCTGTCCCGTTAATGTCAAAGCTCACCTTGAATGTCCCTGCCGTCTCCTGTTTGGATTTAAGCTACTAAAATGCAAAATTAGTGGGTCCAAACTAATGAAATTTGAAAAGGCTTTTTAAGCTGGCTCCAAATTCTTAGTGAGTTCTTATGGGAAAGCTCATCTGAGGGAGAAACCCTCTCCTTCTTTCTCTTTGGTGACGGGGGTTGTTTTGCACGTTTATGACACCTTTCTGCGTAGGACTTCAGAGCACACAGTTGGCAGAAGCCTGCCTCACATACTTTTTCTCTCAATGACGTCACTGCTCCTGAAAGAAGAGGTTCTTGGGAGTATAGAGGCTTCCTCTTCAAGTTGATTAAGACGATGATGATGGTGGTGGTGGTGGTGGTGCTGATAACAGCGAACTCATATGGAGCACTTATTATTTGCTAGGTCCTGTTCAAAGTGCTTTGCGTGCATTAAGTCCTTTAATTGAATTCTGTTACCCTGCAAGTTTGCTACTGTGACTATCAGCTCCATTTCATGGCTTTGGAAACACAGAGTTAAGTAATTTTTCCAAGATCCCACCACCACTAAGTGGTAAAACTGGGACTCAAACCTATGCAGTCTTGCTCTGGATGCTGTTCTTTTAACCTTTACCACTTGCCAGTTATTATGTGAAATAGTGCTGATCAGGCAAAACCCTCTTAACTACATAATTACGAAGAAGACATATGCAAACACCCTGGGAGAGAGCGCATTTACTTAAACCTAACATCCTGAGATGTGAGTGACTGGAGTAGACTTTTCTTGAGTTGAGAGTGATGAGTGGTGTGTGTGTGTGTGTATTTACACTGTGGGTACCTAAAAAGCAGAAGGGAGATCAAAGATACATCCCCAAGGGAGGAAAAGGATATCAAAGTAAGAACCTGGAAATGGACGTTGAGCTGTAAATTATCGAAGTCTCTAGACGAAGGCAGCAGTTAACTAGCAGCTTTTCACCTTGTTTTTGTTCTGTCAGGACATCAGAGGCGAAGAAAAAATATGCTAGACGGGATCATCAGCTCCAGGGTGAGGCAATGGAGCAAGGAGGAGTAATTTTCTAAGTCTTGTTTTTCACTGCTTCATTAGGCTCCTCTCCCCTTTCTGTTTCAGGTTTAAAGCCCCCTTCCAAATTCACTGCAGTCATCCATGCAGTGACCCCGCTGGTCTCTCAGTCCCAGCCAGTGTTGAAACTTCTCGTGGCTGCAGCCAAATCCCAGTACTGTGCCCAGGTGAGTGGGGGGTGGCCAGAGCCGCACCTGCCTCCTCCAGCTCAGTGGACCTGAGATTCCCACTCCTTACCTGCTACACGCTTCACTCCCTGGGACCCATCTACCGTCATGCCCCGTTACTCCCCTTTCATTTGTCATGCCTTGTTACACCCTTTTCATCAACTTAGAGGTTCTTAGAAGTAAAATCGGGCGCAGATAAGGGGTGGGTTACAAAGAGATCTTTGCACTGGGGTAGGTTAAAAATACATATATTCTCCAACACATTCTTTAAAGGATTTATAGTGCATTATTTTGTTTTTAAATGTTAGAGTTATAAAGTAACATCAGAAATGCCCCTGGGAGGACCTAGAAAACTAAGTTTCAATAGAAGAAACAATCTTGGTGGTGTCAAGAGGCATCAGCTTTTCTTTCACAGCCGCCATGCCTAATTATAAAATTGATAGCAGAAGATTATATCTATGGTAACATATTTTCCAAATCGGTGTCACTTCCATACTCTTAACAGTGGTTTTTCTGATTTGTAAATTAGTTTCTATAAGGTTTACAAACAAGGAAAGAAATAATGCGGAAGTATGCATTTTTGAAATAAACTTATTTATCGGAAATAATAAAGTCACAAATTCAGCAGCTATTCTGGATAATTCAAAACATGAGCTCATGCTAGTTCTATCTTGAATTCTCTTTTTCTCCCACATTGCCTGGTGTAGCGCAGTTCATAGCAGATGTTCAGATGTTCGATATACATTTTTATTTAATTTGATCAGTGTTGTTATCTCACTCATCATCATAAGGTATCAGAATTTAGGACACTACTTTATTAAGATCCAGCAACCCTGAAATAACTTCTTTTCTCCCCAGCTTTCTCCTACCCCCTTGACGTAATTTTTTAGCTTACTCTTTTTGTCCTCTGTCTCTAGTTGTTGAAGTGATCAGATTCTGAAGATTGTGTGGGGTGGACTCACTTTAAAATTCAGTTTTGATGTCTGCCATTCTGCTGTGCTTAATCTCCATCTTCTCTGAGGGAAGAAACATTGGGTTGGAGGCCCCTATCAATCCAGCCTTACCAGACCATCTAATGATCCCCTGTCCCTTTCAGATCATAGTTCTATGGAATTGTGACAAGCCCCTACCAGCCAAACACCGCTGGCCTGCCACTGCTGTGCCTGTCATCGTCATTGAAGGAGAAAACAAGGTAGGACTTGAAGGGGACCTAAATATAGAATGACTGCAGAATCTTCATTTTTCCATAGGGCACAACATGGGGTGTTGGCTCTAGTTGTCTTTCTCCTGCTCATGGAAGCTGCTAGCCCTGGACTGTATTTTCTAAAACTGTGCCTCTCTCTGAAGGTTCTCAGCTTTGTCAGCCATAGGCTTTCAGATCAGGGAAATCGGAGTCCCAACACTAACTTTTAGGAGATTTGTGACCCTGTATATACTTTCCTCCTCTGAGCTTCAGTTTCCTCATCTCCAAAGTGGAAACAATGATACATACCTCATAGGGTTGCTAGTAGGAATAAATGAGTTCGGGGGCTGGCAACAGTGGTCTTTCCATAAATGATGAGGATGAAGATGAGGCTGGTGATGGTGGTGTGATGCATGGAGTTTGCTTAGCTGATTAATCTGAATTAGTTGTGTCTTTCAGGCTAGTAGTTCATCCTCACATTTATCTTAAAAAGGATATTTTCACCTTAATTTTGTTTGGGTATCTCCATCAGAGATTCTCATGAGTGCTGCCTCACCAGCCCCCCGCTTCCATTCCCCAATTCATTTTGCCTAGAACTGAATGATCTTCTTAATCGTCTCATGGCCCTTCAGCGAATCTGTTTACCAATCCCTTAAATTGGCACTTGAGTCCCTGTTTAATCTGGCCTTAGCTGGCCTTCCCAATCTTCTCTCTCATTGCTTTCCACTCCAGACCCTGTCCTCTGACCAAATTTAATCAGTCACAGTTATCTGACTTGTACTGTGTCCCTTCCCTCCTCTGATTTTTGTCTTTCCCATTTGCTGTATGTCTTGACCACCCGTGCTCACCTTTTTGTCTCTGTTCTCAAACTTCCCATACCTTCTTTAAGCCCCCGTTCACATACTACCTCCTCTTTGAAATGTCTTCTACTTTTGGAAGCCAGAGGTGAGTTCTGTTTTCTCTAGCTTCTGCTTGTTGCTTTCTTGTAGATCTTATCCATTGTGAAGAAATCAGTTGCTACTAAATGAAACTGAGATTGGCAAAGCCATGTCATCTAAGAGACTTCTTTTGTCAGTCCCCAGGGAGTTAGGTCATGAGAGGTTGTCTCACACTAAGTAAAACATCTTTGAGCCCAAACAAAAAGTATCAATTGATTAGGTTGAACCTTTTGAAGTCATCATTTGTCTTGCTAAAAGTGGCAATTTCATAGGGTTCAATATGGTGCAATGAGAATTGCAACTGTCACGTGGACAAGATAATCAGTGTGTTATCTAGTCAGTTCCAATGTATGAGTGTCTACAATGTGCTGGGCACTGTGCAACGTGTCGGAACACAGTAGGGAATATGACAACTACAGTGATGGCCTTCTTACAGCTGGAGTCAAGCAACATGGTTATATCAGAGAGCTGCGTAAGCTTTTGATGAGAAAAGGTGGGAATTAGAATAATCACATGCCTCCAGGCATCAATCTTACTTACCCTTATGAACCCATCTCACCACAGGTATGGTTTCACAAAAGGGACTGGCACACAAAAATCTCCTGCCTATAGCCCCTTACATCTGTCTCCCCAATTCCAATGCCTATGGCCCTGACAATGCTCAGATGGATGCTGTTAACTTTGAACTTTGAGATTCTTTGATTTTTCTGCTTCATAGGTGACTAGATCTCCTTCTAGGAGATAAGTCTTTCTTTGAATATGTCGGGATATTCAAAAAGCATAGAGTCTGATTGACTCACTGGGAGGCATTCTAACTTCTGTATTTAGTATTGCATTTTTATGCACAGACTCATTGATTTTATATTTTTACCCTCAGCAAGTAGACCCAGTTTCTTTATTTCCAAGATGATGATGATAACAATCATATCTTTCACGTGGGCTTTATCGGATGTGTGTTATAAGATATCTCAGATTCTCCCAGCCATATGTATCACCAGGCTTCTGGCCATTTGTTCTGTCCTAGCCTCCACCTCGGCCACTGATTCCAGTGCGCCACGTGGTTCCTTTTCCCTCACTCTTACTGCCCTGGGATTGCCTTGCCTAGTAAAGCATTTACTCTTAAGTCTTTCTTCAGACTCTGTATTCTAGGGACCCTGGGCTAAGACTTGGGCCCATAGTGAGGATCAAATGAGTTACTGCAGAACAGCTGCTTAGCCCTGTGCCTCTTGTACAGCAAGGGTTCAATAAAGTCCACTGCTCTTCTGGGAGCCATTGTAATGTTTATGATTTGCGTTCTGGGCTCTAGAGTCAGACTTACTTTTGTGTGCCCTAAGGCAAGTTATTTAACTCTCCGTGCCTCAATCCTCCCTTCAGTAAATGGAAGCAGTCATAATACCTAACTTATAGAGTAGCTAAAAGGATCAAACGATATAATACTATACATGTAAATGTACTTAGAAGTGTGGCTGCACATGGTAGCTGCTTGATAAATGTTAACTCTTGTTGTGCTCGTTATAATTTCTTATCTTCCCCATTAGGCAGTAAACTTCTTGAGTCTTGGTCATTTTCTAGTCATGTGTGTTAATTCTAGAAGGGACTGGGCTGGTACATGGTAGCTAAATATTTCTTAGATGAACTAACGAGGAGAACCCAAATCACTCAGGATTGACTGTGTACTCATTGATTCCTTTCATGCTAATCCATTCCATTTTTGCCGTGTAGCTGTGGCAAGGTATTTGAAAGAGAGCTTCTAGTTTCTACACCATAATTTGGAAGTGGCTGGCTTATGGGCTCTTAACCTCTGTGAATAAAGCAGGTTCAGAAAAAGGAAATGGATCCTTTTAAAACCAGTGGTTGGGTCCATGATGGGGAAGAAACCATATGTCCTCTTCATTCCCCATTTTAAATCTCCATGTCTAGCCCTGAATTTAAAATTGATGTGTTTGCAGCTTTGGCTGAGAAATTCTATCTTGAATTTATAGGCCTTGTCTTTGCAGCTCTCCCCTGTAGGCTTAACAAGGAAAGGTCAGGGCATTGCTAAGCTGGCAGCTAATGGTTTCTGTGTTAGTCGGTGGACATGTAAACAGCATCAGGAGAATTGCTTCAGGCTGAGATTTCCGAGCACTGTGGATGTGGGGTTGCTGATCGCTTTGTATTTTATTTTATTTTGAAAGCCTGAGAAAGAAAAAAAAACGCTTGACCCAGTTGACAGATGTGTAAGAACAGACCCTGGAGCCATTTATGCTGCAGATACATCCCTTGAGCTCCCAGAGATGGGTTAGAGTGGACGCTTCTGTCGTTTAATGTCATATGCCCTCCAGTAGCTTCACATGCATATAAACCGAATCTGAGACGAAGCTTACCAATGAGTTGGCTTCTTGATGTAAATATAGCTTGGGCTTCTTTGGGGCCGTGGGGTAGGGGGGATTCAAATTTGTGGACAGCATACCCTTGGCAGCCAGGTTAAGTGTCACCCTTTGTTCTTTGTCTCCAGTAACCAACTGCTTCATTCCCTGGCCTTTGTGTCTTGAGAATTGATGGCAATTGTGTCCTTTCTCTTGGTCTCCAAGTGTGAATTTAGAGAGGGTGTCACAACTGTTACTATAACTTCCAGAAGAAGGTGGTGAATGTGAGATTGCTGTATGTGCCCCAAATTCACTTTTGAGGTCCTTTTCAAACCTGAGACAGGAACAGCATAGTCGCTGAGGTGCTCTATAGAACCACACCATCTGAGGTGAAAGGCTGGTGGGTCCATCTTGAGCAGGACACTTAACCTCTCTGTGCTTTAGTTTTTTCACCTCTCAAATGAGGGTGTCATAAAGATGAAGCAAGATGTTGTACATGAAGAACTCGGAACATTTCCTGGCACCTAGTAAATCTTTAAAAAATATTAGTTATTCTAATATCGTCATTCTCATGGTTAATTGTTCTATGGTACATTCAAAACAAAGGCTTATGCTGTGACCGTCACAGAGCAGTCTCTCCAGTGTCGCTTTTTCTAACTGATCTCCTTGTCCCCAAAGCCCTCACCGTTCACACACACACACACACACACATACATACACATACCTTACCATGCCTTATCCTGGAGTTGCCCATACTTTATTCATATACTATCGGCACAATTGTCCTAAACCCATGGACCACATGTGCAATTGTTTATTTACTATATCTCTTTAAATAAGCTTACTTTACATTTTAATAGAATTATTTTTAAATCACTACAACTTTTTATTGCTAAAGCTACTAATAGGTACATATATTTTTTTCTAATCTGTGCTAAAATAAATAAATAGGAGAATTTTTAAGTGTGTGTCTGCACACCTCCTACAATGACCTGGCGTTTCAGTGGTGTGTGTCCCAACTTGGACTCACTGCTCCACCCATCTGCTCTTTCCTGGCCTCAGAGTGCTGGGTCTCTCCTCTGTGCCTTTGCATCCACTGAGCCCTCTGACGGTTATGCCTCATTTCTATTTGTACCTGGTGAGTTCCTGTCCATCGAGGTCCTGCTTGTCACTGCCATGAGCCCTTCACCTGCTCTTCCCAGCAGCTGCTTGCTGCATCCTCTGAATCCTGGCATTTTGCGTATCCAGCTGGCACTGATCACCTGCATATGGGTCTCTCCGCAGACTATGAACTCCTCCAAGACAAAGAACGTCTCTCATTTACCTTTGTACTCCCTTTCACTAGCAAGGTGTCTGTATACAGTAGGTGCCCAGTAATTGTGGAACAAATGAATCTGCACTGATGGGATAAGGAAGTCTTTAATGAGGAGTGACATGAGGGTAGAACATTCTTTCTGAAAGTGAGGATGGGGAATTTTCCTGAAAACAAGACTCTCAAGTTACCTCTCTTTTCCCTAATTCCCTCCCTCCCTCCTGCTTGCTGTTTCCTTACTTCCAGGTCATGAGCAGCCGTTTTCTGCCCTATGACAACATCGTCACAGATGCAGTGCTCAGCCTCGACGAGGACACCGTGCTTTCAACCACGGAGGTAAGCACCACACCTGAGGAGCGGGCAGTGGCCTCTTCACGCCGTTGCCCCAAACCCCAAGGATCCAGTGCCTCTTTTGCTCTTTCCTTGGCCAAGTCGAAAACATTTTTCAGAAATTCCTGCAGAGTCGGTTTTAATCAACCCAGTTCCTGGTAGCACCCAGCCACCACCTGGCACCCTCACGAGGGCCTTTCCCCTTTGTTTTCTCTGCTAATTGGCTCCTCATTTGTATGGCTGTGCCTCACCTCTCCCCTCCTGCCTGCCCTCCTTTTTTGTTTTTAAACACCATGGCTGCAGGCAGGTGTGCACAAGAAACAAGGCGGCGGGGTGGGGAGTGGGGGGGAACACCTGTTTAGCAGTGTCTTGAGACCACCCTGTCCAGAGCCAGCAGCCCACCCTTCCCCTAACAGTTACCCTAACACCTGTGCAGGTGTGTATTGCCTTTGTTAGGGAAAACTATTCTGGGTTCTAAAGGCAGCTTTTCTGTCTCGATTTGAAGTGCTCATTCTCTTTCACCCCCACAAGAGCAAACGATTTCACTTCAAGGCTGAGATGGAGATCCTGCTATTTCACAGGATCGGGTTTTTGTGCCAAAAATAAGATTGTACAGAGAATGTGTGAGGAGGAGAGAGAGAAGAGGAAAGATAGATATGATAGAAAACCAATTTTTACAACTCGAATGAGTATTGATCTCTGAGACCTTATTTTAAACCATAGAGGGGACAAAAGTCAGTTAGATAAAAATGTAGTGTATGGGGCCGGCCTGGTGGCATAGTGGTTAAGTTATCATGCTCTGCTTTGGCAGCCCAGGGTTTGCAAGTTCAGATCCCAGTCACAGACCTACACACCACTCATCAAGCCATGCTGTGGCAGCATCCCACATGCAAAATAGGGGGAGATTGGCACAGATGTTAGCTCAGGGCCAATCTTCCTCATCAAGAGAAACAAAAAATGTAGTGTATCAGAAATGCATTATTAATCATAGCTGCCAAAAAGCATGGAGACTTAACTACTTATACTTTTCCCTTTCTTTTTTCCTTTTTATAGTTAATCATTTTCTTTTCAATTTGAATATCAGCACTTACCAGCGTGCACTTTCCTGGATGCCAGTCTGATTCTAATGGCCTGCTGCCCACAGAGCCAGGACTCGGTGTTAAACTAGGCTAGCTGTGTCAGTGTCTCTTTCTTGAAATTCCATAGATGCTTCCAATTTCCATCAAATGGAGTTGAACAGATATTATGTGCAAGGGCAACCTAAATAACCCCAGGACACAATGTCCTGGGCCTCACTTTGGTGAAATGCTTTCTGTTTAGCCCAAGCTCTATAAATACTTGGTGAATGAATGATTGGAAGGATGCATGCTGAGGGGATTAAAGTGTGAACAGACGGCCAATTGTGTCATGTGTAAGTGGGCAAGAGAAAGGGGTGGGAGGGGAGAAGATACGTTTAATGTTCAAAGGGAAAGACAGCTATGGAATACATGGTGTGGGACACTCCAGCGTGCATTTTTCTCCTGCTTCCTGCAAGGGAAGCTGGCGTCCCCAGAGCACACTCATTCAACAAGTATTTATTGAGAGATTTCTTTGTTCTGGTCCCCGTGCCGGGTACTTCGATTACACAATTCCTGCCTGTAGCTTTCAGAGTCATGGCAGCAAACAACATTCAAATCAAGTGATTCATATGAAGGAATTATTTAGAGAGTTAGGTGGGGTTAAAGGACCCCACAGAGATGGTGAGGCACCTGGAGAGGAACACTAGCAGAAAGCAGCTCCCACCACGAGGCCTGAAGGAGCGGGGGAAGGAAAGAGTGTTTCCGGAGTCCCTGAGAGATGGAACCAGGAAGAAGAGACTACCCCACAAGAGCTGTGATCATGGAGGGATGTGACAACTGGTGCCAAAGCTGAGAGGGGGCAGGGAAGAAATACCCTGACCTCTGTCTCTGTCTCACCTCCATTTTCCTGCTGGCAACTCCCCCATCAACCACCAGCCAGCAAGGAGGACCAGGTTGTGCCGTCCATAGGATGCCATCATCCCAGGGCACAGAGCATGGCAAGAAGATTGGAGAGTGGCTCTTGAAGGACAAACACAGGAAAAACAGCACATTGCCATGGTGGAACATATGGTTGTGACAAGTACAGCAGATACCTAAATCATTATCCTATGACCCGAACTATTGACTCAGCTTTTATCTTCCCCTGGGCACAAGACAATTAGTCTCACTCTAGGAGTTGTTTTTCCCTGCCCCATGATGAAATAACTTTCAGCTGCTATGATATATGCATGTGCTGGTGAATTTCCTTCCAAAGAATAGCAATTCCAGCCACTCAGTGCATGCTGGGAGGAACATGTGTTGTATGTGAAGTAATTAGAAGTCAATGTGGGTTGGAAATGATATGTAAATTTAAGAGACTGGCAATCTGGTTTACTTTTGCCTGCTGATAGTGGAGTGGCTGTGTTGCCTCAAAAGGTCCGGGACAAGGACTTCTCATTTCTCTTTTTTTAGGTGAATAGATGTTGGTTCATTTTATTTCCTCTCTAAGGATTCTTAGCTTGTTTAAATGTCTCTCTGTAGTATTAAGGATAGGTTTTTAAGCAGCATCCTCTAAAGGGTATTAGATATAGTTGGTTTATAGTTATTTGCATTTATCTGGGTTGCTGCAAATTCTCAAAAGAAAACAGATGTTGGTTTTTAAGAGAAAAGACCTGTGAGCTGACCTTTGCCTTCTTTGATGTGTTAATGATCTGCATGAAAGCAGAACTATCACAAGAATCATAGTTTTATCTGAATTTACTTTTGAGTTCTTTTGAAATGACTTGAAACAGCTTTGAGATAGTAAGAAATTCATGTGATGAAAACACCCCATTGGGTTCTATAGTAGTTGCCAGGGCATGTGTTTCCTTTTCAAAGAATAATGGAAAACCCCAAAGAGTGCTGACAGGCAGGCTGATTCTTTGACAACGTCTGTATAATATACTATCCCGTCAGTTAGCGCCATTAGTATTGAACACCAGGGATGATGTGCAGGTTTTGGTGACCTGATTTCAATTTTCTGTCAAATACTGTCCTCTCCCCTGCTGTCTTTTAACTTTGAGATGCCTCACTCCCCGCCAAGCTTCCGTTTTGTTTTTTTTTTTTTTGGCAAGGAAGATTGGCCCTTAGTTAACATCTGTTACCAATCCTCCTCCTCTTGCCTGAGGAAGATTGTCCCCAAGCCAACATCTGTGCCAATCTTCCTCCACCTCGCATGTGGGACACCACTACAGCATGGCCTGATGAGCGGTGCACAGGTCCTCACCTGGGATCCGAACCCACAAACCCCAGGCCCCCAAAGCGGGGCACACGAACTTAACCAGTACACCACTGGGCCAGCCCCCACCCCCACCAACCTTTCTTTATACAGGCTCCACCATCCAACTTTTCCCCACCCTGGATGTTATAGTTTAGGGGAACAAGCTATATTGTTAAGGTTTTATTTTATTGAAATAGGGCACCAAAATAAACTTTCATAAAAATTTGAATTTGTGACTGTTTATAAAAATAGTGAATTCTGACTAAGCCCAAAGAATATGGAGATAAAAGGACCCTTACAGATCACCTAAACCAGTGTTTCTCAAAACATGGTTTGTAGGCCAGCCCAGTGGTGCAGCTGTTAAGTGTGCATGTTCCACTTCAGCGATCCGGGGTTCACCAGTTCAGATCCCAGGTGCGGACATGGCACTGCTTGGCAAGCCATGCTGTGGTGGGCATCCCACATATAAAATAGAGGAAGATGGGCATGGATGTGAGCTCAGGGCCAGTCTTCCTCAGCAAAAAGAGGAGGATTGGCAGTGGATGTTAGCTCAGGGCTGATCTTCCTAAAAAAAAAAACAAAAAAAGATGGTTTGTGCACATTAAATAGTCCTGCATGGTTCGTGTCAAGCATATTTCATTTTAACAATTATATATTTACCTTAATGTTTGGTAGAAAATAATATAGCCAGCAGTCACACCTAGGGTTTCACCACCAGGTTTATCTGGAATGAGGCTAATTTAAAAAAAAAAAGGAATAGGCAATTTAAAGAAAAAAGTCATTGAATGTGTGGTATGGGAATGTGGCAGAAGCAGGGATGATGTTACCTATATGGTAAAAGCTTGGGAAATAGTGATCTAGGCTTACTTGCTTTGCCTTTTTTTTAAATTGAGGTAAAATTCATATAACATAAAGTTAACCATTTTAAAGTGTATAATTCAGTGGCGTTTAGTTCATTCACAATGCTGTGCAGTCATTGCCCATTATCTCTATCTTAATTCTAAAACGTTTTTATCACCCAAAAAGGAAGTTACTCCCTAGCCTTTGGAACTATCCATCTGTTTTCTGTCTTTAGGGATTTACTTATTATGGACGTTTCATATAAATGGAATCACACACTATGTGGCCTTTTGTGTGGCTTCTTGCACTCAGCATAAGGTTGTCAAAGTTTGTCCATGTTGTAGTGCATATCAGTGCTTCGTTCCTTTTTACAGTTGAATAATATTCCATTGTATGGATATACCACATTTGGTTTATCTGTCAGTTGATGGGGTTGTTTTCACCTTTTGGTTATTATGAATGGTTATTTGCTCTGCTTTTGATCCTCTGAGAGGGCAGGAATTGGACTTGGCCAGCATCCCTCAGTCCCTCAGCCACTGCCACAGTGCCAGGACTTGAAATATTCGTGGAACAAATGAAATTTCCATCTGCGATGCTTATCAAGAAGAGATAGGCACAGGTGGGAGGGTGAATGTGTAACCTGTATAAGAGATCAATTGCTTTTAACACTGGAGCGACACACCTAAAAGGGAGCCTATGATGATAGTACACACCAAATCTGAAACGCGGTGGCCTGGGTTCAGATCTTGGCTCTGCCACTCACTGCTGTGGTTCAAGTAATTTCAAAGCTTGTCCATGTTATAGCATGTACCAGTGCTTCATTCCTTTTCATAGCTGAATAATACTTCGTTGTATGGACATACCACATTTGAACTTCCATATGCCTTAGCTTACCTCTCTGAATTGGAGAGTAGAAAATTACCTACTGAACAGCATAAATGAGTTAAAATGTATACATACCTATAACCATGCCTGTCACATTATCAGCATTACACGATTATGAGCATTATATGATTGTTTGCTGTTACTGTTATTATTATTTTTACTTTCTATGTAGTATATAGTATCATTCATCAAATAATCAAAGAAAATCAGAAATGAGCTTACACCTTTGCAAACAGAGTCTTTGCTAATTACAAATGTTAGTTTATAGCAGGTTCAGAAGTACCTGCTTGGGGTATTATAAGCCCTGGAACCTCATTTAGCTGCATGTTCTTTAAAATAATCCTGTGGCTTCACATGGCCTTGTTCCCACTTATTCTTGGTGATTTTTTGCTGTGGCTGCTTTTTGTGGTTTCCCCTGCTCTGTGTGTCTTCAAACCTGAGAGGCCTGCGTTATTATTTCCGTATGATATCTGCTCTGTATTCCTGTGACAACTTGTGTGCTTTTGAAACATCTTTTCTCTTGCTTGTAAGAAGATGCTCTTATTTTAGTCACTGTGCCTTTGCTGTGTGCTGTTATGATGTCTGCTGTATATTCATACTCTGGACGTCTATAGGAAATCTGCTCCCATTTATAAAACAGATGTGCGTATGCCTCACGTGACTCAGGGATCACGTGCACCTCGGGGTTCAAGGGGCGGGGCGTGGGTGGTGGTGAAGCAACTGCTTTTCTGACTTACTTTTAGCTTGAACAGACCAGATTTCTAAAGGACATATCAGCAAATGGGTTTTTTTCCTTCTTGCATTTCCCCCCTAATCTGAAGTCTCTTTAACAGAAAACATTAAAATGTGCATAATTATGGGGCAAAATGTCAAGCAGTCAGTTTAATTTGCTGATGAATACGTGGAATTAATGTTTCGCAACAGTGCCGGGATTTTGCATTATGGATTAGCAGGGGGAAGGTAATGTTTTGTCGACGTTTGTTAACACTGTTGATTGCTTGTTTGGCTTGTGTTCTGCCTGCAGGTAGATTTTGCCTTCACCGTGTGGCAGAGCTTCCCTGAGAGGATTGTGGGGTACCCCGCACGCAGCCATTTCTGGGATAACTCTAAGGAGCGATGGGGATACACGTCCAAGTGGACAAACGACTACTCCATGGTGTTGACAGGAGCTGCTATTTACCACAAGTGAGGAATCGAGACGTCTCGCCTCTAGATTTTTCTGTAGCTCCTTATATTCATTTCTGGCTACTGCATAAATAGGAACTTGGGCTAAATCTTGTTAACATTAACGAAAATTAGTTTGCATTCCTTTTTAGGTTTTGTCAATGTGGCCAACATGTGTCTTTGAAACCAATGAAACCTCTTAGCTTATTGCATTTCCAGAAATTATGGTAGTTTAACATCTTCAATTAGTCTGAAGTGTGAAGGCATACTCAGGGGTGTATGAGAAACTGAATGTTTAGAATAACAACAAAATTCTTGAGTACCTCTCTCCCAGGCACTGTTCTAAGTGCTTGGATTTACCATTGAGTAAAACAGAAAAATTTCCTACTCATGCAGGTCTTGTATTCTAACCAGGGGAAACACAATATACATAATAATTTTATAATGTGTTAAGGAGATGAGTTATATAGCAAAAAGACAAAGTAGAAGAAAACAATAAAACTGTTCGAACATTAACAGGGTAAAGGATCAGAGGTGCTAAAGGTGGAGAAGGGGCAGGATAGAGGGTGGCCAGGGTGATCCTCCTGGAGCAGGTAAGATCTGGGCAGAGTCTTCAAGGAGGAGAGGAAGTCAGCCAGGAGAATATGTGTAGGGAGAGTGGTATGGCATAGGGAACAGCCACAATAAATGCCCTGAGGCAGAATGTTGGAGAAATCTCAAGAAGAGCAATGTGACTAGAGTGGAGTGAATGGAAAGTAGGTGAGAGAGGTCATGGGAGCCCAGATGTAGGACCTTGCTGTCCATCATGAGGACTTGATTTTCTTTAAGTGATGTGGGTAGCCAGTGCAGGGGTTTGAGCAGAGACATCTTTCTTATGTTTTAGGCGTCCACTCAGGATGCTCTGTTAAGGATAGACTATAAAGGGGGCCAGGGTAGAAGCAGGGAGACCTATTAGGAGTTGATTGGCATTATCTAGGCAAGAGATGAGGGAGCCTGGGACCAGAAAGTAAGCAGTGGAGGTGGTAAGTAGTAAACAGATTGTGGCATATTTTGAAGATGCTCCAGCATGATGTCCTGACAGATTGAATACAGAGTTTGATGAGTCTAAGTTTTTTGACCTGTAGAACCAGAAGGGTAGAGTAGCTAGCCATCAACAGAGATGGGGAAAGCTGTAGATGGAATCCATGTTAAAGAAAATACAGAAGTTCCATTTTGAGCATAGTAAGATATCCTAAAGTGTAAGATGAAAAAGGTCAGGGTTGGAGATACAAATCTGGGAGTCGTGTGCATATTTTTGGTCTTTATATCCAGAGGACTTGGGTAAGATTGCCAAACTAGTGAGTGTAGATGTTTAACGTTCCTGACAAAATTATTAATGAAATCCCCACTGTTCTGCCTTAGTAAGGTGAACACACCAATCTTAACCTAGTCTTTTTAGTAAAGAATAGAGAATCTTGACATCTCAGGGATAGAGCTGGAAATGCACAAGGTATAAGCATTTAGGCTGACGGAATCTTGATCTTAAGATTCCACCTCTTGAAAGTTCATTGTTCCCTTTCCCCCTGCCACTACCACTCAAAGAATCTGATTCATTCAAATGATTTTCCTGTAAATATATGCTATATGTACTTCCAAAAAGAGTAGTGGGGTAAGAAATAATTCAGATTAATTGTGGGTTCTCCAAAATGATTGACTACCAGATTAATTAGGGTTTTGCTCTAATAGTGTTGAAAATATGGTTTATAGGCCACAAAAATAGAAAAGGGTATTGTTGCACTCAGGGTTATGGGAGAATATTGAATGCAGTTCTGATTAAGCCAAGAATTAAAATTGTAAAGCTGCTTGTAATGATGTATAGATCATGTGGAAGTAACTTCTCCTGCCATCTAAGGATTCGGTTTCTAACCAACCAGCCTGATATTAAAGTTAGGCTGGGCAGGCAATATCTGCATCCATGTGTATCCCTGTACCTTGTCTTCTTATCTGTAAAACAGGGATAATAACAGTACCTATATGATAGGTTCCTTATGAGGATTACATAAAGCATTTCTTGTAAAGCACTTTCGAACATTATCTGGCACATAATAAGTACCATATGTGATAGCTCTTATCATCCTCATCCATGATATGTTTAGGGATTCAGAGAGTAGGTATGTGTTTTCTGTCAAAGAAGATCCCCTGTCATAATCTAATGATGGGTTCCTGTGAAACCTGTCTTTGGTTTTTACAGATATTATCACTACCTGTACACCCATTACCTGCCAGCCAGCCTGAAGAACATGGTGGACCAACTGGCCAACTGTGAGGACATTCTCATGAATTTCCTGGTGTCTGCTGTGACAAAATTGCCTCCAATCAAAGTGACCCAGAAGAAGCAGTATAAGGAGACAATGATGGGACAGGTAAGGGCAGGACAATCCTCCTCCACTGCTTTGCTGACGGGTGGTTCAGTCTGAGGTAATGAGGACTCACTGCTCCTCTAGGAAGCATAATGAGGAGATATCAGAGAAAAACCGCATCTGAAAGCTCTGAGCGAGCGTACGGTTGGCACATAGATAATTGGGAAGACGGAAGTCAAGGGTATCTTTATGTCAAGAATATAAAAGCTCTCATATAACCTACAAGTTGGCATGAGAAAGACATATCTTCTCTAGAGTTAAAGACCTACAAAGAATTTATGTAAGTTTATTGTAGGTGATTTTTTAATGAATAGTTAATAATACTCTCAACACAGCTTTCTAGTGGTTGCTCTGGAGTTGGATGAACATCATGATGGCAAACCAGCAGTCACAATGCTTGATTTTCAGTTCTAGAACCAGCATTTATGAGCTGTAGGCAAGTCAGTTACCCTCTGAAACTCATTGGCTCCTCTTTAAAATGGAAATGGTGAAATCTACCTCAGAGGGTTGAGATAACATGTAAAAGAGATTTTATAAAAGAAATATTGTTTTGAGTCATAAAAGTTTAGCACTAGGGGCTGGCCCCGTGGCCGAGTGGTTAAGTTCGCGTGCTCCGCTGCAGGCGGCCCAGTGTTTCATTGGTTCGAATCCTGGGCGCGGACATGGCACTGCTCATCAAACCACGCTGAGGCAGCGTCCCACATGCCACAACTAGCAGGACCCACAACAAAGAAGACTATACAACTATGTACTGGGGGGCTTTGGGGAGAAAAAGGAAAAAAAATAAAATCTTAAAAAAAAAAAGTTTAGTACTAAAGATACTTGTAGGGAAATGTAATTCCAACTTTCTCCTTTTACAAGTAAGAACACTAAGACCCAGAGAATTTAAGCATATTGCTACAAGTTGCCCAATCTTAGAGAACTAGGAGTTGAAGCCTAGGCTCTCTTCTTTCCACTGCTTGTTCTTCTACACCCCAGGGTCCCATTCCCAGGACGATCTGGATATGCTGAAGCTCATCTACCTTTATTCATCTTGGACAGAGCCCAGCACTACATGTTAGAAATCAAAAACCTTAAGTAAGACCATTTAGATCTACCCAAGTTAAGTCATGGAGCATCCAACAGGATTTCAGTCAACCTGAAAAGACATACTTTAACTTTGTTGTATCAGTTCAATTGTCTGGGGGTTTCCATGTACCTTGCTCTAACGGTTATTGAAAATCATATGCAAATCTAGCTTTTGCAAAGGAAAACTTAGCCCGGCCTCATGTTAACACAATTGATGGTTTTGCATTCACTAAATTTAGTAAGAGCAACAAATTTGCAGGATTTTAAGTTTATAAAATTTTATAATTCCATTTTTACTGAACACCTACAAGTTATTAAAGCACTGTTCTAGGTACAGGTCATGACAAAGCTGCTGTCCTTAGTGAGCAAACAGTCTAGTGGAAAATTCTATTTCCCTCCAACTACTAAGAGAACAGGCGAGAGGCTTTATAAGAATTTTTAATCTTTAAGGCCAAAAGGCTGTTCAAATTCAAGCAAGATATATTGTCTACTGTGTGTCCAGGCATTTTCATGTATATTATCTCATTTAAGGACACCGCATTCCTTTAATATTGTTAGCTCAGACAGTCTGATAACTTCTCTGAGGTTATGTACTAATTAGAAGTGGAACTCTAATAACATAATTTATAGGGGTTGGTGCTATGCCCTTTTCATAGATTTATCTATTTCTACCAAACCCATATTTCTAGAAATAATTTTATACATCTTTTGGGACAAATCTAAATTTAGCCTTAGGTCTAACTAGATGTATCTAGTTAGATATGTACCATATTTGCCCCATTCTACCCATCGTACACTTTTGTTTATTGAATGTTTGTGTGACTGATGAAGTAAATGGATGTCATGCTCTAAGATTATGCTTTTATTACACAGGAAAGATATCTTCTCCAATAGGTTGGTTGACCCAAGTAAATGTTAAAATCTAGAGGCAAAAGAGCTACTCAAATGATTCAGTGGGCTTTTTTTGTTTTTTTCATTTGTAAGAGGGAATAAGAATGAGCTTGAGCTCTGACAGTATTACCATTTGCATTTGTGAGCACTTGCCTAGATGTGGGGGTCTGGCTGTTTGGGAATGAGTGGGCCAGTCAGAAATGGCCTTCAAACCCATACCAACTTAGGAACAAAGTGAGATACATTTGGGACCATTTGCTCTGATATGAACTCAAGTGGTCGGCTTCATTTGATACTTTCTCTGATTTACCCAGCAGAGTTCTCCTAGCATAAATGGTAAAGAATGGAGCCTGAGTTCTGCCCCTTAGCCTTGAACAAATAATTTTAACTTCCCTGAACCTACTTCCTCTCTACTATGAGGATGTTATTACCTGAGTTGATAACTTGACCAGGTTGTGTGAGGCTCAAATGAGCTTCATGAAAACACTTTACAAATAGTATTTTGTTTATTATCCTGCTGCTCAAAGGTAACTTGACATTTGTATTTACCTTCAATGATTACTTTCAAGTATGTTGACACTTGTGGTTTTAAAGTGACTGTGAGTGATTCTCACAGTAAAATGTACCTTCCTATGAAAGTATTTTCTAACAACACGTGAGGATGCCAGCACATTGAACACAAACACACATCCATATACATCATTTGATAGTTGCCTAACGACATAAATGAATTTGTGGGTTTCCCCCCATAATTGGGCAGCCCACCTTTCCTTGTTTCATAAAAACATGGTTTTAAAGACATTATGCTTAGTTGGTCTATTTAAATTTCAGCACTCAAGTCATTTAAGGCTTTCTTCTAAATCCGTGTCAGTCATTTACATGGTCTAAACATATTTAACCAATCTTAGGGGCAACACAGAGAGCTAAAGAGATGGTAGCCATCTTTTCTACTTACCCAGAATCAACCAAGTAAACAAGAAGGTTTTAGAGAACCATCGTCGAAACCACAAACACACTGTTAGCCATAGTCTTTGATCCCAAGTGCAAACAGAAGTTTTGTATTTAGTGAGCACGGTAATTGAGGTTCAATTGGTAAGTCATTCACTGACCAGAGAATTAGTCAATATAGATCTTTATTTGTGTGTTTTTAGCACTGAGGAACGTAGCATATCTTGGGAAAACCTTCTAGTGAAGCTGAAAACCAGGATCAGTGCTTGCATTTTCCCCAGGCACATGGATGGGGAAGCTTGGTACCCAGGCCAGACGCCAGGCTCTGCTGCGCGCCCGTGAGTCTGACTTGGTTTCCGCAGTGTCTCCATCTCATCTTACATTTCTCTCATCATCTTCCATGTCTCTTTCCTTTTCCCCAGACCTCTCGGGCTTCCCGCTGGGCCGACCCGGACCACTTTGCCCAGCGACAGAGCTGCATGAATACGTTTGCCAGCTGGTTTGGCTACATGCCGCTGATCCACTCTCAGATGAGGCTCGACCCCGTCCTCTTTAAAGACCAGGTCTCTATTCTGAGGAAGAAATACCGAGACATTGAGCGACTTTGAGGAATCCAGCCAAGTGGGGGAGGGGAAGCGAGAAGGGACAGGGGTCAAGCTGCTCTCTCTTCCCAGTGCAGATCCGCTCAGCAGCGGGGCCAGATTGTGCCAAGTATCCAAATAAACTTAGATGGACAGAATGACAAAAAACAAGAAAAGGCCAATGAGAACTCGACTCCTGGCTCCTGGGACCGCACGGGACTGCTCCAAACTCACCTCACTGGCTTCTATGTCCCAAGACTAGGTTGTGTACAGTTTAATTATGGAACATTAAATAATTATTTTTGAAATGATTGCTATGCAGGTTTAAACTTTTTTAATGATCAAAACTATTAAAAACCAGAGTTCTTTCTTTAATCAAAATTGTGTTGGTTGTGACTATTTCAAAGCTGCTACTCCTCTTCCCACAAACATCATTGCCATTGGTCATGCAGGGTTTCCTGCAGTTACAAAAGCTCAGGCTCCATGGAAAACACAAGTCACTTGACCCAGTGTCAAGACATAACTGAGCATAAGTAAAGGCAAGTTCATTCTTCAGCCTTGCCAGTGCAAATTGTTTTCCACTTTGATTTTGCAGATCCACTTGAACTTTTGTCTCTAAAATGTCGCTGCATGAGAGAAAGTATTATGACTTCTGGGTAGGCAGTTCTAACTGAAAACATTATGTTTGGGATATGTAAGTATGATAACCTTCTTCATTGGGGGGGTGGGGGGAGTTAGTACCAAGAAAACACTAGTATAATTAAGAAATGTTCAGTTTGCAAAAGAAATCATTCAGACAATCCCCCAGCATATTAGGGAGATGGAAAGATTGATCCACAACAATAGCCCAATGGTTTTTAGGGGTGTGGGCTAGATAAAACATTCAACTGTTGACATACTTCTGCTTAGAGCTGGGGAAAGCTTTGGTTTAGAGGCAAAGGAAGAATGAGTATATTGGGGGAACATTATTTACAAGACAAGCTCTTTCATGTTTGTGAAAACCTCAAGTTTCAGAAGCTTCTGTATTGAGAAAAAAGTAATAATGTATCCATTCTCACCATCAAACATGAAGATTGCTGAGAAGTAACTGGGGGTATCTCTCACCATTGGGACCCTGATACCATTTTTGGTCAAACATTGCTTTGAGGAAGAATCTGGCAAACAAGATAATCAGAAACAAATGTGAATACTCTCCTATTTCATTTTAATTTGTAAATCTGTGGAGAAGTTTAGTTGTGCCTATTGTTAAAAAACATTTCTATCTCAGCAAATGCTGCTTTGAGCTTCTGATTATTGTAAAACTACAAGTATAAACTGAAAAAAAAATCTATATCTCTTAATTCCATAATAAAAGATGGAGACTTCTCATATTGAATGCTTTCTTCTACTTGGAAGAAGCAAGAGAGAATAGAGAAGAGAAAGACATTATTGGGTCCTCCCACCTCTGGTGCTGAATCATCAAGAAGCACTGTTGTTTTTTTCCCCCTAAACTCTCATATATCTCATAAATTTATTTCCAGGGTTGGTTTAGAAGAAAATTCCATTCCAGAATTATGTTCAAATAACTTCAAGTGCCTGGCTTAGGTGAGCGGAAACCATAAATCCAGGAGACTTTAACTCATCTTTGCTTTGTAGACCTCTGGAAGAGAAGGAACTTGCAGTGATAGTGTAAGGAGGGAGGGCGCTGTAGACAGGAGTGCAAGTAGGTGTTTTGCAGTGGTCTAGGGAGGTGACTCAATATGCTACCTAATGACAGAGCGATGACCAGCACCCACATGTCCAGATGCTGTGTTGTGACTGGTGCCCAGGGAATTGAAATTCAGTGAAAGAGGGGGGCTTTTCTGCAGCCTTGTGCCTCAGAATAGCTCCCTAAATCTCTCATCCAATTTGACCCAGCCTTAGCACACTCTCAAACATATGACATTTTCTCCTAAATGGATGTGACTTTCTCTTCTGTATTTGTTGAAAAATAATTCTTGTGTCGATGGTACTTGCCCCTGTTGCTTTCTTTGAAATGCCCTGTCTAATAGGTTTCATGCCGTTGAAGCTGCAGCTCTCAGTGACTTAAAGGGTTAGCAATTAATCCTTATTCATCTGGCCTTTGTAAATTTGTGTTTAATTTTTTAGGCCTGCCAAATGATTCTTGTGTCTTTCTCCTTTGCAAAAATGAGTGCAATCTTTTGTTCAATGACCCCAAGCCAACTTGAAACTTATGTTGTCTTCTTGGCTTGCAGAGCAGTGTCCCTAGTTGTACCAGTCGGTCCCATGAATGGATTCAAGGAACTACTTTGCCTGATTTACCTGTCACAAAGCTCGCAGGGCATAGTCTCCACAAACAATGTATGTGACATTGAAAGAAAAGATTGTCATTATAAATGAGAACAGGATCTGACACACTTTTCAGTCACTTTAAACCTCCGCAGTTTCATTTTGTCTTCTTCTCTGAGGAAAGCTCTTTGGGATGCTAGCTAGTATGTTCTTTTCCCATTTGGAACATACAGCTGGGAATTAAACAATGCTTAGCAAATCAGTGAGGCCCAGCAGTAAGATGTAATTTTAATTCACTTAGGCAAGAGTTATATTTCACTGCAGCAAGTTGACAAATCATAGCCATCTCTGTAGGATGTCAGGAGTTCTCTCTCAGTCAACTTTAATGATAACCAGGGGTCCCTAAGTGGGCCAGTATGAATTGGGAAGAAGCCAAAACCAGAGAGTGCAGTGCCAACCATGTAATAAATTACATGCAGAAACTCCTGGGAAGACTCAGCCGGTTATGATTTCCACACAACATCTTTTTCTGGCTCCACGTTAAGACGCGTGATCTTAAAAATAATTTTTTTAAGCTGACTTATGTATGTATTTAAAAAAAGGCTTACAAATATCAACTCAAGTTTACATATACGTGAAACATCACCTTTGTTGAAAACAACCAAAAGTGAAGCTGTAAAGAATCCATGAAATAATCACTGTAGTCATGTCACAAAAGATCACATAGCTGGGTGGGTCTCCTTGGACCTATCAGCACACTTTCCAGCAGGATGCTTCAGAAGAAAGTGAAACCTCTCGTACCTGGAATCTTATGTGTGTTCCAGTTTAATTTCTTCTCGTTACCAATGGTGCTCAAAGAAGGATCAATCTCGGTTGCTTCCTTCAGTTTTCCTTTGGGAGTGATTTTTGTTTTTCATTTACAGTAGGCTATGTTAGCCTTTATTTTAGTGGTTCTGGACACCTGGTTGCTTGAAGGAATGTTATGCCAGTGGCCTTTCATAAAGGTTACTGAACTTTAAGTTAATCAGGGGTGAGATGAATGAATGTGAATAGACCTATATACTGTTTTAAAAAAAAAAAAAGCTCTTGATTTAAGAACTAATGAAATTTTAATCAAACTTGTTTAAAGGGCGGGAGCAGGGAGAAGGCAGAGAGCCTGCCAGGGTGGAATCTGAATAAGACTCTTGCTGGACAAACTGAATTATGGATTCAAAAGCGGAGGCAAACTTCCCAGACCTGAAAGTGTCTTATGTTCCCTCAGATCTCAGAGCTCCAATTTTAAAAAGTACCAGTTCTTACCATGACCTCTCAAATAAAAATGTCCCCACCTGCTAATAGTTAATGTGATCACCGTGCAGCCTGCGCATCAGGACATCAGTTGCTGCTTTCATTTACTTAGTTTGCATTTGCAGCAACTAAATGACAAGAACCTTTCCGATGGCCTTGTCATTCTTGGCCTATTTAACCAAGAAAGTTCTTTTACTCCCAGCCTCATTTTCTCAGGCATGCTTGATGGGGACAAAGTTGTTTAGACTTGAGTTCTCAGTCAATAAACATTAATATCAGACTGTGCTAAACTTGTCCTCTGTCTTAGAGCTTCAGCATGTAGACAGATTATTCCTTGACTCCAAGTCCGCTTTAAAAAAAAATGGGATAAAGCGTTCTGAGTACAACATAGTCTCTCCCATCACTGCAGTAACACTGTCCAGAAGCCCTGGATAGAAGAGCTGCTATTTACAACATAATCTCAGTAATGAAGATGACTCCTGGAAACCATCTTTGCCCTTTCCAAAAATCAAAGGATTTTATTTCCATGACTTTTGCTTAGCAGAGACTATCTGTAGTTCTCACTAATTTGAGTTCCATATGAGAAGCCTAGATGAGCTACCCAAATCTGGGACTTTCATTGCCAATTAAATAGGTGAGGAAGGCTCTAGTATCCTCTGGAACAAGAGACAGTGGCATCCATCCAGAAAGCCCTCAGAAGAGCATGGTCTCACCCTTGTTTAAAATCAAGTCAAGCTAGCCTTTCAGTCGTTGTATTTTTGTAATGCTTTGCCTTTTAGGCCTCGGAGGCCGTTTGATTTCTGCAATAGTTCTCTGCCCTTCCCTGGGAATACGTCCCTTTCCTTTCTGTTGTAATTATTACTAAAATTAGGGCCATGCAAATGACCTGGTTACCATGTAATGAACCTTGTATATTTATTTTGAGAGAAAAATATGTATAGGATATGTTGAGGGGGTAGAAGGAAGACATCAAAAACTGGAACTATTTTAAGTGGCAAATTGTAAAGGAAAAAAAAAGGATACCTTATTTTGTATACGATGTACATTTGGGCCAGTTTTCTAATATGTTGCCAATGTTTTTGTAGTATCACCACAGGTCTTTTCTGAAGTGTGTTCCCCATTTGTTATAGACTCTTAATGACTTAGTGCAATTAAGCCCTGAAGTGTGAGAGAGAGCCTGTGAGAATACGAAGCCATAGGTCTTGATTTACTTCACTGACCTGTGTAACTCTATGTTTGGGTTTTGCCATCCAAGATAGATTGTTTTATAGAGAGTGTCACCAAAGACTTTTTCCTTCCAATTTATAGAAGAAAAAAAAAAAGAAATTATTAATAAATGACATGACTTTTCATCTGTGTGGTTTTCCTTCCATCTTTTCTGTTGACTACAGAAAGATGTCATTTCTCAGGAGGATTTGGTGTGCTGGGGGAACACAAAGCTTGTGTGGAGATTCTGGGGGAGATAGGTAGATGAGGTTGGGCCCTGTGTGCTGGGTGGAGGTCCAACTCCCACAGCCTGGCTGCAGCCCAACGCCCAGCCTCATGGGGAACAAGGGGCTGCCAGCAAGAGCCACCTTCCAGGCCAGATACAGCTGGTGCTCTTGGAAGCAGACCAGGGTGAACGGTGGTGATTTGCCCAGTTCACAACGTTCCTCCACACAGACGCTGGGACAACGTGGCAGCGCCGGGCCCCAGAGCATCTGGAGCCTGACAGCTGTGGCCATTACCCACTTTGGTTTCAACTACTGTGTAGAGCTCATGAGTTCCTGGCTGGGGAACCATTTATTAGACTGACGTTTCTCAAAAGGATTTATAAATGGTTCCAG